ATGGATGTCCACAATTGTTTCTCATTTTGAGTTGCGCCCCATTTGCAAATGAAGGTCTCAAAGCTTTACTTCATTTGCATCACCACAGTCAAATTTATTTTGAGGAGGTAGCTCTTCTCTACTCTTATTTTGAGTACCTTCCAACCTGAGGGGCTCATCTTCTGGCACAATATCTGACAAGATTCTGGTGTTCTTTATCATGTTTTAATATTCAATATTCTGGTGCTATCTAACAGTGTTCCACTGTGCTTTTCATAAAAATTTCAGTAACTATATACTGAAGCAGTCTGTCTCTCCTTCTTTCTAGTCTATCTTAGGCTGGAAGCTCAGGTGAAACTTGTCTCTCATGGGTGACCTTGCTGGTATGTAAAATACCAGTGGCATACCTTCCAGAATGAGAGCAATATGCAAGCCACCACAGCACAACAAACTGACACACAAGTGGTAGAAGGATATGCAGCCCATACTTAATCCTCTTAACTGGTTTGTCATAACCAATCACAACGTGGGGTATCATCACAAAGTGCCACATTATATCACTACATAACTGTCAATCCTCTGAGAATAACAATCGTGTCAAGTCATATTCTGGGGGGACAAAATTCAATCTATCACAATGCACTTTGTTATTGTTAAGAAGTGTCAAGTCAATTTGACTCACAGTGACCCTGTGTAGTGTTTCCAAGGAGCAGCTAGAGAGTTTGAACTGTTGAAATTACAGTTAGCAGTCCAGTGCTTATCATATAGTAACACACCAGGGCTCCATGGTTAAGGCACTAAATTGGACAAAGTTTAAATTACTGAAAAACAAATAAAGAAATAAAGGTGGGCCATATTAAGTGTTGGGAAAGACACTTAAATTCTGCTAATACAAATATAAAATGGTACAGCCATATTAGGTAACACTTTAACTTTCTTTTTTTAAAAAAAAACTTTCTAATGTGAATTGAATGAAGCTTCACAGAGCATATCATTTTATATGCCTTGAATTGTATACTCTACTTCATTACAATGATAGCAATCCACTTCATGTACCATCAGTTAACAGTTGTTAAGTGCTGGTAGAGTTAGTCTCAACTCAAATCGACCCCGTGTAGGATATCCAAGGAATGGTTGGTATGTCTGAACTGCTAACCTTGCAGTTCAAACTGACCTTGTGGTCCAATGCACTATCCTTTAGCGCCACACTATAACTCCAGTACTTACCTCTATTTACTTTAACTCTTGCATTCCTCCATTTCTTTCCTCTGCCAACCTCCCTCTTGTTGCATATTGCCTACCCTGTCACCCATTTTAGCATGTGCTTACTCTTTAGTTCATAAATTATTTACCTCCCACCCCCAATAACCATCACAGAATTTTTTTTTTTATCAAAAAGACCTTTTCTTAACGTTTTATAACAGTGTCCGTCAGGTTCATCCATGTTGTGTGGTGTTTTACAGATTCACTGTTATTCTTCAACCGTGTGTAGTATATTGTGCCTATGTACCACAGTTTTTATCACCGTTCTTCTGTTCTTGGGTGTTTAGGCTGTCTTTTTGTTATTGGGAATTGAGCTGCATTGAACACGGGTGTGTATATATCTAATAGTGTCACAGCTCCTGGTTCTAGAGGGATAGCTGGGTCAAACGGTATTTCTATTTCCAACTTTTTAAGAAAGAGTCATACCATTTTTGCAGTTTCTTAAAAGTCAAACACAAACCTACTATAAGACCAGTCCTTCTACTCCTAGGTATTTACTCAAGAGAAATGAAAGTCTATGTCCAAAGACTTGCACACAAATGTTCATAGAAGCTTTATGGTTAACAGTACAAAACACTGGACACTACTCCAATGTTCAACTACAGCTGAACAGAAAATCAAGTCGTGGATATACCCATGTAATAGGATACTACTTACCAAAGGAATAAACTATTGATACATGCAACATACAGGAATCTCAAAATAATTATATTTAGTGAAAATCAGACCCTAAAAAAAGTATATGCTATAACTCCATTTATATAAAATTCTAGAAAATGCAAACCTACAGTGACATACTTCATTGGTTCTCTGAGGCAGTGGAACAACAAGGAAATGGGATAGGAAGAAGAAGAGAAAGAATTATAGAAGTGCACAAGTTATCTTTTGTGGGGGGTTATGGATATGTTTACTGTACTGAATATGTTGATGGTTTCATGGTGTATCGAAATGCTTAAATTAATCAAACTGTTGTTGTTGTTACGTGTCATTGAGTTGATTCTGACTCACAGTAGCTCTGTATAAGCTGGTGGATTTGAACCACTGACCTTTAAGTTCAAACCAACCCTGCAGTCCCATGCTTATCCTACAGCACAACATCAGGATTCCAATTAATCAAATAGTACATTTTAAATACATGCAATTTATTCTATATCAACTATACTTCAATGAAGCTGCTGAAAATTATTAGAGGAAAATCTTCCTTATATGAAAATATAGAGTCTTGAAGGTACAATGAGTAAGCACTTGGCTGGTAGCTGAAAGGTTGGGGGTTCAAACTCACCACCCACAGCAAGGGAAAGATGTGACACATATTCTTGTATAAAGATTATAGCCTTGGAAGTCTTACGGGGCAGTTCTACTTTGTCTTATGGGTCCCTATGAGTCAGAATGAACTTGACAACAATGGGTTATGAGTTTTAAATATAAACGTTAATTTAAATAATATATTAATATAAATATTAATAAATAATATAAATATAAATATCAGTAACTTGAAAGCACTATATTTTTCATATGGCAATTACCTCAAGAAAATGAGTGACAATGTATAAAAGAATATTTCACTTTTTAAGTTTTAGTCATGTTAAGCGCTATGGGGATGGAGATAGGTCAGAGGGAAAAGAACGTCCATCATACAACACTAAATCTATGGCACTGACCACTGCCAAGAAGAATTTTATGATGTCTCAAACCAACCCTCCCTACCAAAGCTCCCTCCCCTAGTCCCTTTTTCTTGTTGTTGTTGTTGTTAGTTATCTTTGAGCCTGTTTCAACCCACAGGACTCCATGTGTGCAGAAAAGAACAGTTCCATATGGTTCTCAAGGCCTGAACTTTTGGAAACAGATTGCTAGGCCTGTGCTCCGAGATACATCTGGCTGGGTTTGAACTGTCAGCCTTTCAGCTAGTAATGGAGCACTTAACCTTTTGCACAACCTAGGGACTCCAGCCTAAGTCTAACAATTATATAAAATCCTTTGCACTGCTTCTGCAGCCCACATGAGCTCGCTATAAACAAAATATACTTTAGACATTTTCCCTGTGACTACTAACTGCATGTCCACCTTCAGTCACATTCCCTTCTACCTTACCTAGGGCCTTGCTGCATTATTTATCACTCTGGAGCCTACTCCGTAGGCATTTAATGCTCTCATTTGCATCCTTCATCCCACTGCAAAATCAGATTACATCTCCTCATCCTATTACAACCTTCCCTCAATCCTGACACCCTCAAAAATTTCCCCAACGTCTATCTTTCCTGAGCTGCCAAATACTTTGAAAAGTAGCTGCTCTTGCTGCTTCCACTTCCCTACCTCCACTGTTGTTATTAAGTGCTGTCGAGCTGATTCCAACCCATAGTAACCCTGTATAGGGTTTCTGAGGAGTGGCTGGTGAGCTTGAACTGTCGACTTTGCAGTTCAAACTTACCTGCAGCCCAGCACATTACCCTGCAACGCCACAACAGTACTCCACGTATTGTTGTTGTTAAGTGCCATCGAGCTGGCTCTGACTTACAGCAAGCCTGTATAGGGTTTCCAAGGAGCAACTGTTGAGACTGAACTGCCGACTTTTTGTTGAAACCAACTTTGCAGTGCAATGTATTAACTCACAACACCACACCAGGACTCTAGTACCACCCCACAAAACAAATTCACTGCTGCTGAGTTGATTCTAACTCACAGCAATCCTACAAAGTAGCACTGCCCCATAGGGTTTCCAAGGTTGGAATTTCTATATAAGCCAACTAACTCATCTCTCTCCTGAAGAGCTGCTGATGGGTTCCAGCTGCTGACCTTTTGGGTAACCGTGGAGCGCTTAAATACTGTGCCACCCAGGATGACCAAAAACTGGATGGGTTTATTAATTCAGAAAACAAGGTCACTGATCAGCAGAGTCCTTATCCATGGGGCTAACTTAATAGTAATGTACCTGATATATCTCCCTCCTACTTCCAAAAAGCTACACCATTAATTTTAAATAAAGAGGAAAAAAAGAGGTTTATGTGAATGAATGTCAGGATGTGTGAAAAAAGAGATAATACACAAGGCTGATGTATTATTTTCCAATTGTTCTCAAACAAATTACCACACTTAACAACAACAACGAAATAACTTAAAACACAAATTATCTCATAAAAAGTACAACAGTATGACTAGATTCTCTGCTCAGGGTCTCAATGAACTCAAATCAAGGGATCAGCCAGAGTTGCAGTCCTCTTACAACTTTGATGACTGTTGTCTGAATTCATTTCCTTCTGGCTTAAAGACAGCAAGGACTATCAAACTCTTCCCATTCTTTAAATTTCTCTGATTTTCCCTTCTGCACTAGTTAGAAAATACTCTCTATTTTAAAAAAAACTTGTGTGATTAAATCAGGCCCACTGGATCCTCTTCCTACCTTAAGGTCAACTGTGTCACATAATATAAGGTCGCTATGGGTCGATACCGACTCGATGGCACCTAACAACAACTGTGATAGTGGAGTCCTGGTAGGGTGCTGTATGATAAGCACTGGACTGTTAACAACAAGGTCATCAGTTCCAACCTACCAGTCACTCCTTGAAAACCCTCTATGGGCTGCTATAAGTTGGAACCAACTAGCGGGCACTTCACAACAAACACTACCAACAATCATGATAGTGATGTCTCATTATATTCATAGGTTCTGGAGACTGGATCTTGAATGAGGCAGTTCTAGAACTCTGACTACCGCAGCTGCAAAAAAAAAAGGTGAAATCAATTAAAGACACTTTTCTTACCTATTAATAATGAACCATGCAACAGTAAGCATTCCTGCTAGCCATGTTCCACTCATAAGCCAACTCGTAACAAATAATGCAGTCACATAAATTCCTTGCAATCCAAAAACAATGCCAATGTAAAAATACACTGGTTCAATAATTTCCTAAATGGAAAGGGAAAAAAAGAGACAGGGAGTTAATAGGAGGACATTCAATAATTTAAGAAATTATAAATATGTGAAAGAATAAATATGAAGGTCAAAAGAACAGCACATACGTTGCTACCAGTTGCTTGATATAAAACACTGGCGATAAGCTCTGGATATAGAGACATTTGCTGCACTGCATTTATAGTCTTCAGAGATACAGTTCTGTTATTGTGTGTCAGTTCATAAACACCTAAAGACAGAAAAATTCTTCTCCAGATTACTTAAACATTTGATTCAGAGATCATTAAATATTTTTATATTACCAAGAAAGATTCCAAAACATAATACTCTGTGTCTCATTTTTCTAATTTTGTATTAAGTATAATAAAGAATAGCATCTATATTCTGAGATAAACCTCCTTATTCAAATGCTCTAATCTAGATTGAATAATGTTTTTATTTTAGGAAACATTGTTACTCAAAATATAAAATTGTTATACCTCGTTCAAATGAAGGTGCCTTTAACATATCTTTATAATAGGAGTAATAGATAGCACTGTCACCCTGAAAGGTGATTTCCCGTTCAAGTTCCTAAAACAGAATGAAAGAGTTATTTAAATACCAACATTGTAAATTTTAGCTGCAATGTTTCTTCTTTAGTCACTAATAGCTATGAAATTATTTGTCAATAATCTGGCAAATATTTTCATTAAATACTTAAAGTTTAAAATGGATTAGAATCTGTAAGTCAATTATTTACTAAATATAAAGAAAATGCAATAGCAAACCCAAAAGAAATGTCTTAAGAATAATGAGGCAGATGACGGTTGAGATGTCAGAAGTACTTCATCAAATGAAAAGCTTAAGAAAGGATTACTTTTATTTTTTTCCACTTCCCTATATATCCAGAACAGCTAGCCCTTAATTAGTATTTTTCAACTGAATTTCCAGAAATACAAGCAAAACTTTAAATTCCTAGAATTGGGGATGTTGTTGTTGTTGTCAGGTGCCATCAAGTCTGAACCGACTCATAGCGACCCCATGCACAGCAGAACGAAACAATGTCCGATCCTGGGCCAACCTCA